CTGCAGCCTTTCTACTGCTACTCCTTGGCTCCTTCTTACTGCTGTCTTTCAGCCACACCCCTGATCTTCTGGTAGGAAAGATCTGCACCTAGCCTTTTCGGACAAGGGCGAAAAATTTCGGAGGTCCTGTGTGCAAGCTGCGCACGTTAAAGATTTCTTGGTGGTCTAAAATCGTTAAGAGTAGGCTTCGGCCGCCACCCAGGCAAAATTCAAAATTTCCTACCAACCGAAAGTGTTAAATGTATCCCGCGCGCTCATAATATGACCTAATGAAGTTGCGAGCGCCGTAAAACATTTACCCAAAAAAAAAACCAAACTAGATCTTGTATAGTTTTATTGACGTTACTTGATATAAACGCCATTGCCCTGCTTCCTGCATCACAAGCGTTTGTGAAGGATACCCACCCGTCGCTTTGCTTTGACCTTGACCCTTGAGGCTATGGAATGTGCTGACGTCGAGTCGTCGAGTCCAGCCTTTTTTTGTGTCTGGCATGACTTTCAGATTTTTGATGGTTGCAAAAAGTGTTTGGTTCTAGATGTCGAGTCGCGCTTTTTTTTTTCTGGCGTGACTGTCAGATTTTTACAATTACCAAAATGCTTAGTTCTAGATTTTGTCCTCGATTATTGCCCCTGCTTTCCCGCCAAGCTTCTATTGTTTTTATTTGTCTTTCTTTTCTTTGTATGTTAACTCTCCAGTAACGCCTCTATTCTTCGGCACTTGGTTGACCTATTTGCGTTGCGAGTGTCGTAAATTGACTAAAACTGAAAACTGATAGAGTAGTTAGTGGTGCGGTACAAATAATACTGCATGCGCGTTTGAATGTGTGTGTGTGTGTGTGTGTGTTGTGTGTGTGTGTGTGTGTGTGTGTGTGTGTGTGTGAGAGAGAGAGGGGGAGAGAGAGAGAGAGAGAAAGAGAGAGAGAGAAGAAGAAGAAGTCGGTGCGGAGAGTAAGGGATGAGGAATCCACCCACATTGTGTTGTCCCTTGTGTCAGGCCTACAAACACGGCTACCATTTCCATTATTACTTAAATGGTTACTGTTGTTATTGTTGTCACTATTATTGTGATTGTTATGATTATTGTTATTTTGATGATTGTTATTATTTTTATTATTATCGTGAATATGATTGTAGTAGTAGTAGTAGTAGCAGTAGTACAATGTAGTAGCAGGAGCAGCAGCAGTAGCAGCAATGGTGGTGGTAGTAGTAGGAGTAATAGTAGCTTAGCAGTAGTAGTAGTAGTAGTAGCAGTAGTAGTAGTAGCAGTAGCAGTAGTAGTAGTAGTAGTAGTAGTAGTAGTAGTAGTAGTAGTAGTAGTAGTAGTAGTAGTAGTAGTAGTAGTAGTAGTAGTAGTAGTAGTGTCTATTTTACATCATGTATTATTGTGATTATTTGACGGTGTGTGTCTGTCCCCCCAGGTGGGCCTGTGTATCATGGTGTGGTGCGCCTGTGGCCTCATCTCCCTGGTGGGCGCCCTGTGCTACGCCGAGCTGGGCGTGACCATCACGCGCTCCGGGGGAGACTACGCCTACATCAGGGAAGCCTTCGGCCCGCTCTGCGCCTTCCTGCAGCTCTGGGTGAGTGCCTGTAGTGCCCGTTTGAATGGAGATTACGACTGGTCATTTCGACAGTAGTTTTGGTTATTATATGGTCGCTTTTAAGGACAAGCGGGCTAACTTAGATTTCGGGGGTTTCCAGAAATCTTGACCTACACCAAAAGTGAGTTTTGCCCTACCTATAGGAGAAGTTTGGTTTCAGTAGTGTATATATTTGTTTGGTTCTAGAGAAAGCTCTCCTTGTCTTTTAAAGAAACTGAACAAAGGGGCAAAAACTTTACCTTCAATTTTCTCAAAACAGCATTTTTAGGGGTAGCCCCCTTGTGCTTAAAAACGGCCATATTATACTGGTGTTGTGGAATACTACCCCGGGATAGGGAAAGGTGGAACGTGTGTTTGTCGGTGCCATGTACCCTGATGCAGGGTGAGAAAGGCAGTGATGAATGATGATAATACTACTATTTTTTAAAATGTTGGTGACGAAGCCCTCAGCGGTGAAACGTTGAACTCACTATAAATTTTGAAATTCTACGCAGTCTGCACCGATTTTTTTTCTTTTTCTTTTCCTTTGAACTGTCTACAATGACGATGATTGTCTACCAAGTATGGTAGTGTCGTTATTTAACCATTGAAGAGGCCTAATCTAAGTTAATGCGTCTTGCGACTCGGAATTTTACACATGTACTTTGTTTCGAGTAATGGTATTTTGTTGATCTGTGGGTGGTTGGCGGGTGCTCTGGTGTGGTTTGCTTCTTCTTTCCTATGAAACATCTATCGTCCTTATCTCCCCTTCTTCTTTTGTATGTGTGTTACTCTTTTGTAACACCTCTACTCTGTAACACCTCTAATCTTCTGGCGCTCATATGACCTTATGCAGTTGCGAGCGCCGTAAAACTTCTCCTAAAACTGAATTTGTTGATCAGTGTGAGGTAAGGAATGTAATATTTGTCTTTGTCTTTTGCGTGTGTTGGAAAGGTTAATCTGATCGTGATCCGGCCGACAGCCCAGGCCATCGTGGCCTTGACCTTTGCCTACTACACACTCCAGCCCATCTTCCCGGACTGCGACCCGCCCCACATAGCTGTCAGACTGCTGGCTGCCCTGTGCATCAGTGAGTAGGCCTATTGAGTATTGAGTACTCTGGGTTTGTTGTCCTTGGCCTCATTTGTAGTCGTGTTTTTTGACGATGCTGTTGTTATTTTTGCTGTCGTTGCAGTTGTTTGGTGGTGTTATTATTGCCGTTGTCAGATTTATCGTTTGTTGTTGTTAGCGTTGTTTGTTGTAGTTATTGTTGTTGGTTATTATTGTTATTGTCATTGGTTATTGATGTTGTTGTCACTGTTTTGCATCAGCGCGTACAATGTCATCTTTGTTGTTTTGTCTTCTAATTCATGTTTTCGGCCAGTGAGTCCTTGAAAGTGGTCTTGTTGTTGCTGTAGCTAAGTTTGTCTTTGTTGCTTTCGTTGTCGTCTTCATCGACGATGCTGGTCGTGGCGTTGGGGGGGGG